ATACTTGGAACACTTTTCCATCTCACGTCGTTTGTGCATCAACTAGTGGATCTTTCAAGCGGAGACTCTATGAAACATTGGCACATTTCACATTCCTAAACAAATAAAAAAGCAAGTTAACTGAAGACTAGACTATTTGTTATCTCCAACCTGGAACTCTGTGTGACATTTTATCATTGTTTTGCCGAGAAACGATTCAACTGCGTAAATATCCTCTGGAGACAAGGGAACCGTGAGCTTGTAAGTCCCATGATAAAACTTTGATTTTGATTGGGTTTAACTTACCTTTTAATTACTTTTCCTTTTTCTATTATCAGATGGATCTGCAAGGCAAGTGTGCCAACAGCATTATCCATGAATATCCGGATACCTTGCGTGGTGTGGTTTATCATATCGATTTGGAGTTCTGGGGTACAACTGAGGAGGACAGCAGTTACGAAATGAATGCTCACTTGCTTTCGGGACTGATCACTCCAATTGGATGGAGAGCTCGAGAAATGGGGAAGGGAAAGAAGCTGGCCATCGACGAAATCAACTCGGTCTACGAATTTCAACGGGAACTGGCCTTCAATTTTACCCACCATTTTATTGAGGTTCGTACTCTTCCAGTGTTTTTTGACGAAGGGTTTTCTTGGTGGCTGCCATGACAACAGTAGTAGCATTAGTAGTAATAATGTTTTAATCCAAAAGACCATTGCCCAAATAACGACCGCTATCTGTAGAAAGAATAACCTGGACTGAGAGTGAATAGGATTATACAGAACGAAATCTGTAATTTCCAGCATATGGTTCAGCGGTCGAACAGTTCGACAGCATTTTCGCTTCTTCTGAAGTTACAATAGTGAATCTGTTAGTCCGATCCCAGATGCAGTGAGACTTCACCAACCGCTTCCCCATGCGCGCAAAAGTCACATACTACTCACAAACATCAGTAGTCGTATTCATGGTAGTAGAAGTTGTTGTTCATTTTCTAGGCTTGCTATTGTCCATTCCGTATTTGTGTTACTAATTTTGTGAAGTCGGAATAGCAGAAGCGGGAATGCTGCGACTCTTCAGCATTGTGTAATTTTGTATCCCTGTCAAGACTGGGGGCTGTGAAAAAGTGAATGGGCTGATCCAAAAGTTCGCTGAGGAAATTTATTGAGTCATACGCACAAGGTGCTGGCCATCGATCGTGTATCTCAGGTGTAAGGGTTTCAGACTTGATAGCTTCTTCTTTTTCCAGTTCCGGAATTCCAAATTGCATTTCTAGTCCTATTTCGGGAGATTCAGATTACTGAGAGGTTCAACTTTTGTGTTCGGAGTCACAATGTGCCTTTTGTCAAACTAGTCAGTGCTCAGTGTGAATAGCTTTTCCAGTAGTTGTACCATAGGTTTCTTCACCAGTCGGGATCCGTCGAACACCGGTACCGCTTATGGTTTGCGTATCACCTGAAACCACGGCTGTCTATTGCTTTTGCTCACTAATTTATCTTTCTTGGAGCGTTTCGTGAGTTGACGGAGTCAATACCATCGCCTCCTACTTTCATCGTAGTCGGTCCGTATGTGGTGCCTGGTTTCATCAGGACTTCTGAGCACACAACCTAATCGATCAACTTCTGACATGACTGTGTGAATAAAGCTCAATGCATTGCACACTGCCAACCGAACGTGAATTCCAATATTCATTTAACAGACCTTTCTGTATAAGATCTAGCTTCCCAAACGGAACATTGGTAGTTACATCAAAAAAATGAGTAAAGGGAAGTGGTGACCTGGTTAATGATTAAGAACACCAAGGGTTAATAGTTTTGAAACTAATGAGACATGAGATTCGACCAAATTGGCCCAAGAAGACCTAGCAAATCTGAGAAAAACGTTGACATTTGCTCGCTGTAAGATGTGACATTTTAGTGATCTTGTCCGTTAAACTCGAGTATCGTTTTGCCCTTAATCGAGTGCTATTTTGGAAGTTACTACCAGCTGGCAGTTAGGGATGATTGGCACGAACCTGTAACCGACGGTCACCGTTATCCATTTTAAAAGGCATCTACTGCGTTTAGTTCTTCTACCCGGGTTGACTGCGAGCAAATTTATAGAAAAGAATTTACTCATTGGAATGAGTTCAGTAATCCTTTCGTAAATGTGTTACTTTGTGCAACAGAACTATGGTCGGTCGGGGAACTCACGCGCAACTGATAAATAAACATCTTTACATGTTGCTTGTATAACGGAAAACTGACCGCATCTGGCAGCTAAGTCAAACGCAAACATGATTCACAGGAATTCAGTGGATGAATGTGGCTTTGTCTCTTGATTTTAAAAGGGGGCAATTGCCATGGTTTCTCCTCGAAGCAACAACAACATCCGCCTAACGCGATAAAAAAATACGGCGGGCAATGTGACCATCTCGTAGTTAGTTTGCCATTCGATTCAGTTAATCACAGGAGAAATAACGCGGAACTCCAAGCTGCTTCATTACCAGATGACTACTGCATCAATTTTCAAAAAAAGAATCTGGATACATCACCGAGACGAAACCTCTCCATTCTATGTGGGTAAGGACTTATCACAGGTCTCAATCACACTTTGGTCCATTCTCGGTTATCCAATCACCGTATGCGTAATGTGCTATTGGTTTTCCCGCAATCGGTCAATCAGATCATACGTGCTTGGGCTTACCATTGGATTCTTTGGCATCTCTGTCCCCTGGTTGCTATATTTGTCTCTCCCCGCTCACCCACCCGATCGCACTGTAACATCACCGCATCGACTCGCATAACCGCTAAATGCAACAATATCTCAAGGATAAAAGCGTCCTTGATAACGGTCGAATTTCCCAGGGGTCAAAAAGAAGCGGGGGTGGGGGTGGGGTGGGATGGTTCAAATATTTTATTCGGGAAACGAATTATCGATGCGGTAAGATAATTGTCCAATCAAAAGTATTCGTGTAATTTTATCTCACTCCTTTTCCCTGATAAGCAAATTATATTATTAGTGTCCACTGTAGAGCATGAATCTGTTCAGTACTGATCAGTGGAAACACTGAACCACATGGATGTCTCTTCATTCTCTAATAATATGCAGTCGCTAGTATTCAAAGTACCTAATAGATTCGCAGAAGAACCATTTTGTTGCCGATACAGAAATTGTTTAGCAAAATCAGTGGTTTACACGAACACAATAATTATCTTTTATCAAGATTATATCTACAGTATTTTATTTACCATAAAATTGTGATGATCTAAGTGCAGAAGATCTTTGCTTGTCACGACACGTTTGTTGTTCATTCTTGTTGTTCTGTTTTCCAGGACCATCTTCCCACGAAATCAACTCCAATGTCCGCATGAAGCTCAGCGTAAGTCTCTCCGCTAGAAATTTATTACTTCAAGGTTCGATAGTGAAATCCACTGGGTTAAACGTATTAGTCATCCTGTAGTTTTTTTTTGTAGTGGAAGCAGCGGTAGTAGTAAAATAGGCGTCGATTTTCGGTACTGCAGCGTTTCACTTTGAGCTGAATGCTTAGCACTTATCTCGAGGCAAGTGGATTATTATTATTATTATTATTATTATTATTATTATTATTATTATTATTATTATTATTATTATTATGTTCCTTAACCCTTACTGATGAATAAAGGTTTTAAAAGCTCTACACTTCCTGAACGCATTCAAACGTCGGTAAATCTCTCAAACAGAAGAAACCTAAGTAAAACAAATGGCATTTCTTCCCGTTCAAAAGTTGTCAATGCCTATGAAACGTGACCTGTGTACTATCACACACGATTAGGATTGGGGAGTGGTGTCGCGGGGACCAAGCGTATACAAATCCGATGTCAATTCATTGTTTCATTGAAATCTGAAGAGACGGCCACCAATTGCGCACCAGTTCACTAAGAAATGTAGCCGAATCTTTTCCCTCAATTTGTCACTTAAAAAAAAAATGAATTTTGTTTGTATTAATATCAATTTTGTGGTGCTTACTGTGAAACGACTGCAACTGCAATGAATGGACTTTTCGGTTGATTTCTGAACAGTCATTGGGGTTAGTTATTTGGCCACAGAATTTCGCATAAACTGTTCTTCCCTCTCTGACCTTCAATTTGCTCTCCTCCGTTTTAGTTGAATCATGATTCATCAGCAATTCAAACATGGTTGAATTCACTTCCTCGTTTGATCCGCTGCTCCCGGGAATCATTCATCCCAAATTACAACTACAACAGACCACGGAAACTACTGTTATTTTTTTTTCCATCTTATCCTTCTTCTTTCGTTTTATTTTTGACAACATATCTGCTGACACTTGTGTGTGTGTGCACGTGTTTGGATTACCTCGATCATTGTTTTATACTTTTCTCTGTGTGTATGTGCTACCCTTCTACTCCTCCTCCCCGGTCTCCCTCTCATCCACTTCAGACGATATCTGTGATAGCTTGAAATCAAAGTGAGACCCGAACCATTGATAATCAAAGAATAATGTGTTTTGAGTGTTCTGTTCTTCAGGCGAAATAACATCGGCTGTGAAACTCAAAGCGAAGCATCAAACACTTGGTCAATCTGCTGTGATCTATTTGTTTCTCTAAACGAGGATCAGAATAAAATGCACAGAATGAGAGTTTATTTTCCCGTTTTCTGTGAACCGGATCAGAGTTCATTTTATCCCACAACCATGAACGGAGACTATGCGAACCGATTGATTCCGTTATTTTCTAAAGTAAAAGAAATCACTGAAACACCACATGACAACCGAATTGTGCTTCCCCTCTCCCGCTACATTTTTAGATTATGTCCGCTCCCATATACATGGTCATCACCATCTTTGTGAATCCATAGACGTCAACCGAATGAAAAAGCTCAATCAAATTCTCTTTCATTTGAACAGAAATCTGTTGAGAACTTACAATTTCCACCGCGACAATATAGTATTGCACCCTCTGTTGATCTCTGAACCAGATTCATGCTGGATGCCTTAGCTATTCCGTCATAAAACTTTTAAATCCCTTATCGGCATACTTTGTAGGAGATATCGGATATTATCATCTCCGACAATACTTCACTTACTAATCAAGAATTCCTGTAAATCATTTTTATGGAGTAAACTCGTGCGTATTCGTGCATCTTACACAGAGGAAGGGTTCAAATTAGAGCTGCATACGGGCTACACCATGAAATGACCAATTTGTTAGTATGAAGTGCTCTTTTAATGACCGAATAAATACAACAGAATCTTTCACAAGCTCACATACCATACTAAAGTTGCACGGGGAGGCCTTTCACCGTACCATCACGGAGTGTACATCAATAATTCACTTACTATAATACCACTCTTCTTTTTGTCTATCGTACTATTAGTAGTTTCACGCGTCAGGTCCATTTGCATTGAATTTATTTTCGTTGCTGAAGTTGATGAAATTCCATTCGTTTTTGCCAGTTTCATGAGTTTCAGACGGCAAGAAAAGTTTTCTGTTGCGAGAGTTATTTTAGTTATGCGCCCCCTCAATCTTATGTATTTCATCCAGGGACCGTTGAAATGTTGGTTGCATCGCTCACACCGAAACCCTGTTGTCTCGCCAAAAGCTATCACTGAACCTGGTTCGCCTATGCGTACCTCAGTGATCGCAGTTAGGGGCAGTTGAAAACGGTGTAATTCTTTACCGGGAAGTGCCAGCCCAACGTGAATATATGGGGTTGATCATAGCTCAGTCACTTGTCCGGAATCGGGGTTACGGGGGCCCCGGTGGAGAGAAGTTACGGTTACTCATCTCAAAGTCAAAGTTTTATTATGGGCGATTTAAAAAAGCTAAAGCTTATCATGCCTCATAGGATTTTTACAGAATCGTTTGAATAACTTGACAAAGAGAAAATAACAATGATAATAATGTGCGTGATCACTCACAGCTGTTGAAATTTTAAGTGTCCCAATGCCTTATCAAGTTGCGATTTAAATAGTTCAACTGTAGGAACACACTACATCGGATGGGGGAGAAGTCCATACGCCGCACGCTCTAACTGCAAACGAGTGATGCCGGCAATCAAAGTGGCTGTTCTGGGTTTTCACCTTTAGTGATTGTCCCCTGAGGTGATCATCATGAGATAAAGTCAGCAAAGAACGGTAAGGGTAGTTGGTTTGATGCAGTATGTGATATGTCAATATTAGGTCCCCTCGAAGTCGATAATATTGAGATAAGTAGAGTCCCAATAGTTGCAGCCTTTCGGAGTATATCTTGTTATATAGACCTTTTACCAATTTTGTTACCATTATTTGCAAACGTTCTAGAGCCTTCTTGTCGCGGTTCAACTATGGGTTCCATACCTGAACGACGTACTCTGTGTATGACCGAAAGAACGCTGATAACAAGCGTGGGAACAGTGCTCTTTTGAACTGCCCAAAAATACGCCTGAGTAGTCCAACTTGCTCTAGATCCATGGATGATGCTCTGGCACAGTGCGTGGAACATCCTACGTTCTCCCATACCATAACTCCCAAATCCCTTTCATCATTGGCTTGCGGTAGTGTCTGGTTCCCCAGAACTCTGCATTTGGAAACGTTGAACTGAATGTCATTGGCGATTGATCATCGGTGGGCTGCGTCGATCGTTTGTTGGAGTGCAATATGATCCTCAGGATGTGTTACAGTTCTCCAGATCTTAGTGTCGTCCACAAATAGCAGTGTATTAGGCCCAAGGACCCATGTGAAAATGTCAACCCTTTCCCACGATGACTGCAGACTCCAAACCGCGGGTTAGGTTAAGCTTTCCCCGGGGAAACGTTCAATTGAAGCACCGTTTTCGTCTCCGTTGCATGACGCATGGAGTTCGAGGCCATAGGAACCTGCATTTTTCTCAGAGTTCATTCTGGTGCTCGATCCGTTTATGCCGGGTATGGGGTTGTTTTCGCCCCATATATCGTGCCACAGTTGATCTTTACCTTTCTATACCGTCTGACTATCTCGTATGCGCTGACATTGACCTAAGGATAGGCATTCATTGTGTTAGTTAACAGCAGACCTATTTCAACGCGTCAGCGTTGCTAATCGACTGTATTAATAGTCTTAGACGTCTTTGCTCCCTCAAGGTCATCGAGAGAGATGAGCATGTGGCTAGTCACCAGGATGTCAAATGACTGCAGTTTAAACCAGTGTCGAACACTGACTTACCACAGTTGCTAGCTACCAAGCCCAACTACACATTCGGAGCTGCCTAGCCCACCCATTTTTAAACCAAGTTGGCTTTGTGAAGTCCATGCGGATGGGTTACTTTCATGGAGGTGAACATTTTAATTTTCGGTAAAAGGACAAGGTGATGGAGGTTTGTATCTTGGCTCTTCATTACGTTGTATCTAAGAATCTTCAAAATGGAGATGATCCAGAAATGTAGCGAGGATGCAATACTTTTGTCGCAGGGTATAGAGCTGATAAAATACAAGCAGATCATATATCCAAAATGTGTGTAACTGGAAGATTGGTCTGTCTAACCAAACTCCGATTAACATCCATGGTTTGTGTACAAGTACAATTAAGGCGTGTATCTGGCACTATTTTCTATACCAAATGATGCTATATAAAATGCGATGTATTAACAATGGTGCTAGTGAATCTTACTTGCGGTTTGCTCATATCTAGTTTATTCGCATCGTGTCTTTCTACTGTACTCAGCTAATCACTACTTTCTTCTGTGATCAACCAAACGGCCAATTGAAAGACAGCAACCAAAATGGGCCCGTAGGAGTACAGTTGTACAGACTGAATTTGACTGAACTGCCGTCAATCCCATGGTGACCTCACTATCGATAATTCATTGCTTATTTTTCGGATTTCCAGATATTACCGAGTTCTATTGTCAACTTCCCTGCAATACACTGCTCCTAGTTCGATGAATAAAGTTTATGCGGATACTCAATGTTTGCCCATCCAGACGGACAGTGATTACTTAACTCCACAACGGACATATCACCTCGAATCCCTAAACACCGATTAGACTAATCTCAAGGCCCCAAAGAGGAAACCTAATACGACCTACCTGGTTGAGGTTTCCGCTCAAGGTTTTCACCAACTTGGCTTTCTTCCAACCACTATTTGTATTCACCCATCTGGTGGCAGGCAAAGTATGTCCAGTCAATGCAAGTCCCGGAGATTGGAGCAGAACTGTAATTTTGATCTGCTTTAGTTACATCTTTCATGAGAACACACACAGTCCATGCAGTGGGATGGGGTTATTCGACTGCGTATTCAGTTGGCAATATAAATATTGATCTGTTTCTCAGTTAGGAGCCTTGAGAGAGGCTCGGTAAACACTGCTGATATGCATACCTGTCGGGAACGATGCTCTATCCAAACGCACTGGCTGACCAT